CCATACAATTCACTTGCTTTACTTGTACAGTTCAATGGTTTTTGGTATATTTACAGATTTGTGTAACCATCACCACAGGTAGATTTAAGTGTTAGGAAATCACTGAAAAACTGAGTCTTGTGCTTTCAACCCTTAGGGTAACTAACTCTTTGAATTTCCTTTTTTCCCCAAGTAATTATTTCCAGGGTACAGTATAGTGCTTACACTAGTTTATACTTACTGGATTGAATCGAAAGCATTTAAAGTTTCTTTTTGCGGAAGTAACTTTACATACACAGCAACAGTATTGAAACAGGCAGCTTCTAAGAATTAAACTGGTAAAATCCATACTTAATGAATTGTGAAAGCAATCCATAAAACTGTCTGTGACTGTGTAACTGAAGAGTTTAGAAACACTCTAAAGCCCTAACTAAGATGAGGAGGTAATCTCAGGAGGCAAAACGAAGTGGCTGTAATCTGGTCAGCAAAGATCTAATCAATTGTATAGTACACTGTTCAGAGAAAAGTTTGCATGAAGATTAGCCTACAGAAAGAGAATTGCCAATCTTTACCCAGCACTATTCAGGAAACAGAGATGCAAAGTCCAGAGGGTATGAATCTTCCTGTCTTTGAAGAGGTACACTCTGCTCTGGGGCAGGGATCATTTATCAGGTTTCACCAGGATCTGAATGAGACATCTCTCAAAGCGATTCACCTCATTTTGTTCTGATTCCTTATTTACTAAGAAACTGCCTGAGCCAGTGGGAAGCAGCCGCATGGCACAGGGATACCGGATTGGTTCTTTGTGGCTGCCTGGAGGGGTGGGATAGGGAGGGTGGGAGGGAGGGGGACAAAGAGGGAAGAGATATGGGAACATATGTATATGTATAAATGATTCACTCTGTTATAAAGCAGAAACTAACACACCATTGTAAAGCAACTATACCCCAATAAAGTTGTTTAAAAAAAAAAAAAAAGAAACTGCCTGATTTGCTTTCCAGACCTGACAAAAAGTTTTCTTGGTGTGTACAATTTGAACATCACGGTTATCAAAAATGAATCTGCTTCACCCCCCAACAAATGAACAAATGGTTTGATTTGCTTTCTTGTTTTTCACTCTTCTATACTAAAACATGCCAATCTACTCTGGGACAGTGATAGTATAAGATCATACCCTTAAATGTAATAATTTCCAAGCTAATGTCACCCAAGGAGACCTTGATAAACAGCCATCCAGACTTTTCTTGCTACACCCTGACCTTGTCATAGTGAAACAGACCAGGACCCTATGGTCCTTGCCCCTCCCGCACCCATGTCCTTAGCCTGCCTTTTTAAAAAATATTTATTTAGTTATTTATTTATTGGCCATATTGGGTCTTCGTTGCTGCGCGCGGGCTTTCTCTACTTGCGGTGAGCGGGGGCTACTCTTCTTTGCGGTGCACAGGTTTCTCACTGCGGTGGCTTCTCCTGCTGCAAAGTACAGGCTATAGGCGCGAGGACTTCAGTAGTTGTAGCACGCGGGCTCAGTAGTTGTGGGTCACAGGCTCTAGAGCACAGGCTCAGTAGTTGTCACGCACGGACTTAGTTGCTCCGCGGCATGTGGGACCTTCCCGGACCTGGGCTCAAACCCGTGTCCCCTGCATTGGCAGGCAGATTCGTAACCACTGCACCACCAAGGAAGTCCCAGCCTGCCTTTTGTCTGTGGAAAAACTTTAGCCAAAGGATAAGTTTAATCAGAGAAGTGAGAAAATGCAGAAACAAAGAAAACAGAAGAGACCAAATAATAATAGTTTAGTCATTAAGCATAGTCAAGGACCTTTAGTTCCTCCTTAAGGGCTATAGACAATATTCTGAGCCACATCCTGTGAGCTGTCTTATAGATACTGAAGCCCCCACCAGGTGGGAGAAGTTAACTACATGATGACCAGGCTGCAGCCGTGACACAAGCTGCCACAATTCCGAGAACGGGCCTCAAAGAAATGGAAACAAACCGAACCTGGAACTGAAGATTAACTGTACCTAAAACAATCAAGATGACACTGGTAAGACCACTGATGACCAATTTCAAGATGACTGTCAGAGCTGACTGTATTATTTCTGCATGTAGCCCCCTCCCTCTGTCTATAAAAGCTCTTGCCCCAGTTGTCAGGGGCGGAGGGGGCGGGGAGTAGGCCTTTTGGACAGGCATCTACCCTCCCCCAGTCACTGGCATCCAAAATAAAGCGAACGTTCCTTTCCACCAACCTGGCCTTTATTGGTTTCTGAGCAGTGAGCAGCCAAACCCCACTTTCGGTTACAAGAGACCCCAGAACCTACAATTTGGTTACACTCAAACATAGTAAAATAGGCCAAGAGAGAAACAAGAATGTCCATTCACTCTCTATTAAGTTTTACCCTGTATTCTTCTGAACTGAGCAGAATCAGAAATGACTGCATTCAATTGGACAAGAATAAATCAAAGCAGATTCATGGTTTTCTTATTTTTCTGGAATGAAAATGCCTTGAAATTAAAAGCACCTATGTTTAAATCACTTCAGTTATTACTGACAACATTAATCAACCGAAGATGAATCTGAATAATCATAAATGGATGGATAAAGTTAGATAGAAAATGTGCTCAGTAAATAAATACTGAATGTAAGAACCAATACATCATGTGCCTGGAATTCTTTAAAAACTCTCATCTCTTCTGCTGCTAACCAGGTAGGATAGTGCTACAAACTGAATAAATCTGTTGAAATAGTGTCCCTTTTGGTCAGCTTCTCACTGAAAAATTATCAGGGTCTTCTCTTTTTTTTTTCTTTTGGCCGCACTGCGCATGTGGGATTCCCTGACCGGGATGGAATGATGGAACCCGTGCTCCCTGCAGTGGAAGGAAGAAGCCCTAACCACTGGACCTCCGGGAAATTCCCAGGGTCTTCTCTCTTTAAATTGAAAGCTCAGTTTAAAAATATGTCATTGAAGGATGAGCTAAAGCAGCGGTCCCCAACCTTTTTGGCACCAGGGACCAGTTTCGTGGAAGATAATTTTTCCGCGGATGAGGGGTCAGATGGGAAGGTTCAGGCGGTAATGCGAGCGATGGGGAGTGGTGGGAAGCGGCAGATGAAGCTTTGCTCACTTGCTTGCCGTTCATCTCCTGCTGTGCGGCCTGGTCACGAACAGTATCGGTCCTCGGCCCAGGGGTTGGGGACTCCTGAGCTAAAGGACAGACAAAAAAGTACATGCACATATACTCATAATTTTGGAAACCACCAAAGAGATTTCAAGGACTACCAAAGATCCTTTATGGATCTGTTGAGGAGCAAATTAAATTTGTATTTTCGGATTACTAGAAACATTTGTAAAATACATTCGGTCAACTTTCAGAACTGAAAACATGCCCTTCTGCTAAACAATCTATTTTTTTAAATTTCAAAGGCACTTTGGATTTTGTACATACTGTGTTCCTTTCTTTACTGTGACTTCCGGGATGGCCACAGGCAAATTTGCAGTCCATCTCTAGGAGCTCACCAAATTATTACTGCAGGCATTTTGTGTACTAACCTTATCGATGCCTTCATTTTAATCCTCCTCCCTTATTTTCCCCATGATTTCTCCATCCAGTTTTAGTAATGTTTTATGGTATCTCTGTAAACTGCCTCACATCCCTGGGGACAGGGAGTTGCAAATAAATACATAATATGAAAAAAATCATCCTTACACTTAGGGTGCAGATCTGTTTTAGCATATTTATAACTGCAGGGTTGTTGGGGTTTTTTTTAATTTGAATTCATCACTAATATTTAAAAACCCCAGCATTTCATGTAAAAATCTAGATTTCAGATGTCACTGAGGAAAAAATGTAAAAAGTTCTTATCTCCCTGGACCAGCATGCTACCAGGATCAGTCCTGAGCACCAACTGTGGTCTCCAGTGGTCACAGAAGTACTCACACATTCATTGTGCTCATTCATATTACTTGAGAGGCCTGGTAATGACTTCAAAAAAAGGAAGGAACTTCAGGATTCTGCAATACACAGAGGCAGGAGCGCTTTTTCTCGTTCTTTGAAAGCAGCTGGAGAAATAACAGGCACAATTCATTCTGCAACCTTCACTGGACCTTTCCGCTGCGTTGGGCCTAGCGATAGGCTGTTTAAGAGAGAAGCAGAGGACTTCCCTGGTGGCGCAGTGGTTGAGAGTCTGCCTGCCGATACAGGGAACACGAGTTCGTGCCCCGGTCTGGGAAGATCCCACATGCCACGGAGCGGCTGGGCCCTTGAGCCATGGCCGCTGGGCCTGCGTGTCCAGAGTCTGTGCTCCGCAACGGGAGAGGCCACAACAGTGAGAGGCCCGCGTACCGCGAAAAAAAAAAAAAGAGAAGCAGAGGTCTGGGTCCTGGGTGGCAGGTACCACCAATGACTGGTCAGAGCACGAATCGCCGCCACTAGCACAAGGAGTGTTTAACTGAGCTATATACAAAGCTCGGTTCTGAACCAAAGGTGGAACGGTACTTAGTGCAGTCTATTTACTAGGGAATCTAAGCTGGGTTCCCCTCCATGAGACACTTACGTAAGCAGCCCACGGCCAGTCCGCAGGAGATGGGGCGGAAAGACAAAGTCACGGCTTGGCTCTTCGTTGAATCACAGACAACGCAACTCCTGAACTAGGCGCACTCTCCAAGGACGCCCCCGTTTCCGGAGCAACCGCCCGGTCCCGCCCCCTTAGACTCCGCCCCCGCGAGTCTTTCCCGCCAAAGGCCGTTAACACCGCAGAGCATGGTGGGACAAAGCTATCGGCTAGGTTTCACCAAATCCTTTCAGGGCGCTGTTGCTTTAAGAGACCCATTCCTGGGGAAACTGATTATTCTTTAGGACTCGACAGAGATTAATAACCCCTTTTATGAGGGCTCTGTATTTAATCTTTACCACTCAGCCGGTCACTTCATTCGCGAACCTCTCCACAAAATCGGGAACGCGGGAACTTTTTTTCCCTTCGCGCGGAGGGTGACGTCGCGCGTGCGCCAGCGTCCCTTTCGCAGCACCCGTTACGCTTCTGCGCGTGCGTAGTGAGATCGAATAGCTGCTTCCTCCCGCTTCTCTTCCGCCCTCCCCCCCATATCCGTGCGCCGAGCTGATAAAGGCGCCATTTTGGAGGGGCCGCGGGAGACGTGGGATAGCTGTGGGCTCGCTCTGCTGTTCGCTAGGCTTGGTGGGAAGACCTGTTCTCGAGTCCGCGCCTTTCGTCGCCGCCATGTCGGGAGGTGGTGTGATTCGTGGGCCGGCAGGGAACAACGACTGCCGCATCTACGTGGGGAACTTACCTCCAGACATCCGAACCAAGGACATTGAGGACGTGTTCTACAAATACGGTGCTATCCGCGACATCGATCTGAAGAACCGCCGCGGAGGACCGCCCTTCGCCTTCGTTGAGTTCGAGGACCCGCGGTGAGGCGGTCAGGGTCTTGCTGCCATGAGGAAATAGGTTGGAGTAGTTGGGGAAGGCTCCAAGGCCTTCACATAGAGAATGGGGAGGTGGACTCTGAGGTTGGGAACAAGACGAATCGCCCATGCAGGAGTGGAGTGAGGAGCCGAGTCGGCGAGGCTTCTCTTGTGGCTGGGCCCTCCGGACGTCCCCAGAGCCGACTCGCAGGCTCGGAGCGGGAAACTGAGGCGCTGAGGGCTGCCGTAGTGGTCGGCAGCCTGGCGTGCTTCTGGGTGGGGGAGGGGCCATTCCTATTATGCAGCGCATGTGGGCTCTTCCACCCCAGGTGCGCATGTGCGGGGGGCCGCTAGCTCTCAGACCGAGTTAGCCGCCCCTCCCGGTCCTTTTCCTTACCCCTTTGCTCTTCTGTGATCACGCAGGGATGCGGAAGACGCGGTGTATGGTCGCGACGGCTATGATTACGATGGATACCGTCTGCGGGTGGAGTTTCCTCGAAGCGGCCGTGGTACAGGCCGAGGCGGCGGCGGGGGTGGAGGTGGCGGGGCTCCCCGAGGCCGCTATGGCCCTCCGTCCAGGCGTTCTGAAAACAGAGTGGTTGTCTCTGGTGAGTTGACCGTCCCGTGCGAGTTGAAAGGAGGCAGAAACCATTTTAAAGTTTTCCTTGCATGACCAGTTTGACAAATGCAGGTTTTCATGCCAGGTCTTAAATTATTTTAGTCCTGTGGGTGAATTTAGTAAACAAGGATTGCAGTATTTGAGATTTGCCAAATTAGGTTGCAGTACCTAGAATATGAAGATCCTTACTTTGCAAATAATTTTGGGCTCTTGATTCCAGAATCTTAACAGCTCCTTAACCTAGGATGTTAAAAATAATCGTTAATTTTAAAGTAATCTTCGTTCTAATGTAAATTTTAAGTTTAATGTGAACTTTAGGTTAATTGGTATTGAAAAAAAAATAACTTTTTCAGGACTGCCTCCAAGTGGAAGCTGGCAGGATTTGAAGGATCACATGCGTGAAGCAGGTGATGTATGTTATGCTGATGTTTACCGAGATGGCACTGGTGTCGTGGAGTTTGTACGGAAAGAAGATATGACCTATGCAGTTCGAAAACTGGATAACACTAAGTTTAGATCTCATGAGGTAGGTTATACACTTATTCTTTTCTTTGGCCAGAATTGGATACAGTGGTCTTAACAGTGGAATTTGAAGGTAAGATTCAGGCAAGGGTGTCCGAGTAAACCCAGTAAAGTGCCTCTGGTTTAAGTTACATTGAATTCAGCATGCCTGAAGACAGGTGAAAGCTTAGATCTTTCAATCGAAAGTTCTGTCTATTCAATAGGGAGAAACTGCCTACATCCGGGTTAAAGTTGATGGGCCCAGAAGTCCAAGTTATGGAAGATCTCGATCTCGAAGCCGTAGTCGTAGCAGAAGCCGTAGCAGAAGCAACAGCAGGAGTCGCAGTTATTCCCCAAGGAGAAGCAGAGGATCACCACGCTATTCTCCCCGTCATAGCAGATCTCGCTCTCGTACATAAGATGATTGGTGACACTTTTTGTAGAACCCATGTTGTATACAGTTTTCCTTTATTCAGTACAATCTTTTCATTTTTTAATTCAAACTGTTTTGTTCAGAATGGGCTAAAGTGTTGAATTGCATTCTTGTGTAATATCCCCCTTGCTCCTAACATCTACATTCCCCTCATGTCTGATAAATTGTATTTTAAGTGATGTCATAGACAGGATTGTTTAAATTTAGTTAACTCTCCATGCTCTTCAGACTGTGATATTATGTAAATGTCTGTTCTGCTCTGGTTTGTGTGAACTGGGTTGTTGGGGGTGTTTGTGGTTATCTTACCTGGGGAAGTTCTTATGTTTATCTTGCTTTTCATGTGTCTTTCTGTAGACATATCTGAAGAGATGGATTAAGAATGCTTTGGATTAAGGATTGTGGAGCACATTTCAATCATTTTAGGATTGTCAAAAGGAGGATTGAGGAGGATCAGATCAATAATGGAGGCAATGGTATGACTCCAAGTGCTATTGTCACAGATGAAATTGGCAGTATTGACCTTATACTAAAAGGCAAGGGTTTAAAATGATTGTACATCTACCTTAAAACACTTTCAAACATCTTATGCAGTTACCTTTAGCTACAATTGCTTTGCTCTTTAAACCTTGGCAATTGTGGCAAAATTACGTTGCCCATTTTGTAACTATTTTGCTCCCTACCCTTTTTTGTTTTAATAGGGACTAATGTGGGAAGAACTGGCTAATTTGTCACAATGCTTAGTTACAACTGTTAATGTGTGACCTGCTGTTGGTGTACATGTGGGTACAGGGTGTCTTTAATTCCAACCGGATAGAGTATAATATCAATACTGCTAAATCTGCATGTCCTCTGTGTGACTGATATAGCGTTGCTACTTCATTTTTTTTAAGACAAAATGAAAGCAAAATATATAGAGTTCCAACGTATTGGTGTAGATAATCTAGTTGGGAATACTTTTAAGTCTCACCTTCCCCTTTAAACTAATATTCATAATTGACTCATATGTTTAAAACACTTTAATTTACAAATTAAATTACAGATGGGAGCATTAGATTTAGTTTAGACTTAGGTGGGTAGCAATACCAGTAAACTCAACTACATGACTTTTTGCAACCACAAAACCTGTAATACGCTGTACAGTAACAAGTGTTGGCATTATCAGTTGAACTGTAAATATAAAATGCTTCTTCCAATTAGTCTCTATGATGATTAAGTTTCTAAAATTTATCTGAACACCATTCAGAAACTTGTTTTGGGGAATTTGATAGTTATTGATGTACATCTGTTAAACTGATGACAGACATAACTCATCATTCCCCAGAAACCTTTTTTGATTACAGTATCTAACATTTTGCCTCCTCTTTTTTGGTTTTGCTGGTTATAAAGGTTTGGATTGGAGAGGGCTCACTGGATCCCAATCCTTGGAGCTGGATCATTGGATTCAAATCATAATGTGGATAGGATAGGGAGGATGAATTACAAGGATTCATGGAGCGGGATCAGATTACCAGGAACATAGGAGTGGATTCCTGCCCCAACCAACCGCATTCGGTGTGGATTTTTTTTGGGTTTTTTTTTTTTTTTTTTTTTATTCAACTTAATTGGCTATTCCAAAGATTTTTTTTTTTTCCTATTTTTGACGATTGGAGCCCTTAAGATGCACGATGGAATTGTGTTTTGCATTTTTTGGTAAAAGGAGCAAAGCGAGGACCTGGAGATATACGCTGGAGCAATCTCCTTGGAAGGATTCAGCACGAGTAGATGGTAAACATTTAAAGGGGAAAGGGGGGGTTTGTTTAAAATAGTAAATCAGTAAGTCACTTCTAAATTTAAAGAAAACAAAATTGGAGTTGAAGACTAAGTAGGTTTCCAATTGGCTATTGCCGTTTTTCTTTGAAAAAATAAACATTTTTTTAAAAAAACTATGCATGGTTGTCCTTTTTCCTCTTGTAAGAATTTTTACTGGTTGATTAGTCTCAGTTAATACTTTAAATTGATAAGATTTCCGATTCTTGTGTTTATGTGTTAGTAAATTAAAGGTTCTTGAAAGGACTTTTCTAATAAATGCTATTAACCATCTGTTAATTGTTGTAAAAAGTCTTCAGGGGAAGATAAAAAATGAGAATAAGGCAATTGTGTATGTAATATGGTAAGTGAGGGGGTGATCTAGTCTCTGAAGGATAAGTTTCAGAGCTTTGATTTAAAAATGATGAAAAGCTTATAGATGCTGCTTATTTTGGGTGATCATCTAGACAGCATAGGGTTTTGTGCAAAACCGAGTGAGGACTAGTAAATTCATGTTGGTGTTAGCCTTTGAGTTTCTCAATAAAACTAAACTCATCAAGTTTTAAATTCAGCACAGATTAGGATTCTTAACGTAAATTACATTTTCTGTTGGAAGTGTGAATAGCACACTAGAAGATTAACTGCTTGAGTAAATCATTGCTAATAAAAAGCTGGGCATTCTTTAGAATTTTGCCTTGGAAGTCTTCTCAACCATAAAGTTATTCTGTATCCAGAACATACCAAAGCAGTGATTACATCTTGTAGTCTACTGGTTTTTGTATCTTTACCTGATAGCCCCTTGGTGCTAAGTTTTCAGTTTAGAGTTGGGGAGGGGTTTTTACTTAGAATTCCTAATCTTCTGATTTCCTGACAGCTAGTCAAAACCATCAAACCATTCTTTTTCTACACCCAAAAGATAGCTAAGTCGTAACATTTCCCTTGGGTGTTAATTATACTTGGAAGCAGAATTAAAGATTGCTATCCAGTTGACGTAATTTCAAACCTAGGAAACACTGGAAATAATCTTGGTAGTAGAGAAAATGGGCCCAAAGGGGTTTGCATAAGGTCACCCAACCAATACTTTTAAGTGAACCTTATGGAATGTCAGGAGGAAGAGGAGGGATTATGGAATGTCAGGAGGAAGTTCAAAATTAGGATTCCATTTTAAGTATTTAAGCAAAACACTTGGTATAGATTCATTAAGGGAGTAACTAGTTATGTGAGAGTTCAAAACAACTGTTCAAGAGCAGGCAGGCACGTAAAACAAGTTCTGTTTCATCTGTAGAATATACAATTGGTATTTTTTAATGACTAATTTTGGAAAGATTAACGTGAGCTAGACTTAAGCAAGCCTGGGTTCATTTGTGTTCATTGAATATTTTGGAAACGACCAAAATGAAAATTGCCATCACTCAAAGTTGGCAAAGTTAAGTTGCCATCACTTAAATTGCATTTAAGCTACGCTGAAAGATGTGCTCTACTAAAAGTAGTTCCAACCCCTGACTGAAGTGAGGTAGAAAATATTACTTCCCTAGTAATAGGCTGTTTAAGATTAGAGAGGACTTAACTGTATGAAAGGTAGAAGGATGCAGGTTTTCCAGTTCAGTAAGACCAGATAGCTAAATGCTGTAAGGGGAGAGGCAGACTTGCTGTTTTTCAGTCTTAGGAAATGGACCTTAAATCTCTAGCTAGATTAGCAGCTATTAGAAGAAAGTCACACCCTTTTGGAACTAAAAAAGCTGTCTTGGATTTTCCCCTTTTCTCCCTATTTATGTCCCCTTAGATATTGTAGGGATCCTATAATTAGTTTATTATTTTCTAACCAAGGAAAAACTTAAGTCTCTAAGAAGCAATTATTTTTCATAACGTGAGATTGAGTAACCCACCTTGCTGTTCAGCCCACATCCTTCTGGAAACAAAAGGTAAGAAACCCATTTTCTGATTCCTAATTGTTTGGGATCTGAATTTTATTAATTTAAAAAAGATACTCTGGAATATGAACAGATTTCCCTCATTTAAAATGTTTTTTCCCCTAAATTTTATAGTTTAATAATATATTCCATTATTCGTGTATCCACGCATAGTGCTTAAGTTCCATATGATTCTAGAATTTTAACTTTCTCAGTTTTGTCTTTGAAATATATTTGCTCACTAGGGCTGGTGTTCTTTTTTTTCAAGTTTCTGTGAAGATGAATTTCTTGTGTGCCTTTTTGCTTACTTTGTACATGAAGTTGTGATGAAATTGCAAACAAAATAAGTTATATGTCTGTATTTACCATAAATAGTATTAAAAGGAAAGAAACTCCATTAGACTGAAGTTCTGTTATAACCATCCTTTGGTTTAGCTTATTTCTGTCATGGTATGAAGAATGCAAAGGCAGAAAACAGGTTCATAATCTCTTATCCCAAAACTCCAAAAACAAAGTTTTTTGTTGTGGAGCAAATTGAATATAAAATGTGAGCAAAATCGATGCCTTTGTTTTGCACTTAACTGTGACTGAATTGTCTTCCTGCAGAAATATTGATGTGTCAGTTGCCATAGGTTTTGCTGAGAGTGTTATGTGATAAAGGGTCTATATATGATATATGGTATATATATGCACTTTATAAAGTGCAAAAAGCTCTGAATTTCAAATACATCTGCCCCAGAGAGTTCCGGATAAGGGATTGTAGAACTGTTACAGGATACACAAAGCGAAATCTTCTGTGTAGTTTTGAGTATGTGAATGAAAACAAACCGGTTACTGTGGATCCTTTATTGATTGAGCTGTAAGTTCCCCGTCTTTTTAGACTGAAGCAGCCGCAAGAAAAGGTATGACTCATTTCTTTATGTTCTGTTGCTATGGTGGACTCTCATCAGTTGTACTCCATTGAAGGAAATATTCTGCCATCCCATCCTATATGGTGGAATACTCTATTTGGGGGTAATTTTTTCTAGTACTTTTTTCTTTCACAGGAACATTGATCAATATGATCCTATAGGAAAAGGTGGGATTGGCATGAAGTAAAGAGATTATAAGGAAACATCTGTTCATTGTGTCTCTCGTGATTGTCTATTGAATAAATAGTAATCCTGGCAAAAACTTTTGCTTTAAATATAGATCCAAGAAGTTGACGGTATACTTCAACCAGCTTATTCTTGTGGTTGAGAACTTGGGGGCTGGCGGGCGGTGCTTCTTGCTAACTTTGAAAGCTATACCCAACAACCTTGAATGTGGTTGTGATTTTGTAGGGATGGAAGGAGAGAAGGATTTTTTTTTTTTTATTACAAAAGTCGCTTGGTGCTTCTGTGGTCTCTGTCAAATACAAGTTAATTTAGGCAGAAGTAACCTCATAATAAACATTTCAAAATAGATGCCTCACTGGGTTATGGGAGAGAAAAATCAAGCATACCTTTGCATAAGGACGTTCCTGGTTAGGTAGGTATGCAAAACACAAATGAAACAACATTTAGAGTTAAGTAGATCCTGGGTGTTTCATCTTCATCTATTAGAAAAAGTTCTAACATTCAAAAAGTATCTTTAACTCCTTTTATAATTATTAATAGAATTATCAATGTGAAGATAGTAGAAACTGAGAGCTTTTCTAGAATGCTTTATTCATCCTCACCAAGTATACTTTGAACAAACATTAATTTTGTAGGGATGCCAAATGCCTAATGAGTTGCTTGGGTTTTTGTGGGGTTTTTTTTACAATGGTCTATTCCGCTCCCTATTTGAGTAAAAGCTAGGGAAATTCACTTAGCCACTAGAGGGAGCTATGATACAAAATCAACCAGGAAGTACCCTAGGGTAAAGAATCCATACAGCAAGGTGGAAACTATATTAATCCTCTATATCAGCTCCAAAGTTAGGATTTTTTGGTCTAAGTTTTTTTCCTGAAACTTTACCTTTGCCTCCCCATCTGTTGGGCAGAATTCTTTCTCTTTTCATTTAGGTTTTGAATAGTACTTGATGAATAAATCTGTAAATCAGAAAACTGTCTGGGTTCTGGGACTTAGGAGAAACATGCAAAAGACGTGAATCTGCTTGTCTTTCTGCCTACCTTGTATATCTCCAGGTATGGAATAGTAAGGCCAGAGTGTAAGAATTGGGTACAGGAGTAGATGTGTGTGTGCCTCCCCCCGCCCCGCACAAATCTAGCCCCAAAATTGGTCATATAATGTAAAAATGCAGTATGCTTTCAGAAGCCTTTATCATTTGTTTTTATGGTGTGAAACACTTTGGGGAGTGATACCAACCTTTATTTCTTGGCATTACTGAGACAATGATTGTTAGTGTGCCTTAAAACCCTGTTTATTCATCAGGTTGGTTAGCCTTATTTTTCTGTTCTGCAGGCCTTGTTTCAGTAGGCAGAGTATCTTGTGATCAGAAAGTCAGTACAGACTTATCTTGACATGTTTATTTAATGCCATTTTATTTTAAGAAAGCCAAAATTATTAGGAACTAACATTTCAGCATTTGTCATTCCCACCCCCCCCTTCAACTTTACATTGCAAAAGTGTAAAGGACACAGGCTTCCTGTTTATTGTCACTAAGAATATTGTATTAAAGTGTTTTAGGCCCACTTGATCCAATTTAGTCAACACCAATATGGGAGCACTTGCCTTAAAACACAAATGTTAGGAACTTGTCTACTTTGAAGAATAAGACACTAAAAGAGGACAAATAAAGATATTTTAGGAAAAATAGAATCAAGTTTACAAAGTGGAGATTACTTTGCCTGCTAAACTCACATTTTATGTAGCAAACGAGGCTACAGAAGGTAGTTGCTGACTAGCAGCCTTGCTGCAAATGGGATTGAGAGTACTAAAAGTGCACTAGATTATGCCTTTCCTTAATTCTAAAAATGTTAGCTCTGATATCTTCCTAATTTAACCTGTGAAGAGAGACCATAAATCCTAAATTGCTCAAATGAAAATCTAGAATTCTCTTTATAAAATAAAAAGACTAAACTTGGAGATTGTTTTAAGTGCCAGATGGCATGGCAGAATTGTACCCTGAAGTGCTGGGTATTAGGAGAGCCTTTGTAAGTTTGGGATAAGCTTTCAGGTTGTTTATTAAGGTTTAATCCTTAGGAATGGACTGCTACATCAGTTGAACAAAAGACAACCTACTGCCTTTAACTAG